GTCTCGTCTTGTAGATTTTGGGTCAACAAGGTAATCTCACGGGCCTTTTCCTGACCAGCTCTGTTGGCCTCTGTCAGTTCCACTCTGTGTCTTGTTTCAGTCTCTTCCTTTTGACGTAATATGACCTGAATCTGTGACTCCAGTTCCTTCTTGAACCTGCTCCCCTCGGTTGACCTCTGCTGATGAGCGTCCTCTTCTGATTTCCTTCGTGCCGCTTCGGCTTGGGAGAACGAAAGCTGCAGCTTTCTAAGTTCCTCTTCCAGGTCTCTTTTCTCAGAGTTTAACCTATCCAGCTGAAACCTTAGAGTTGTCGATTCCTCCTCCTTCTGCTGTGTTGCCTTGAGCACACTGGTCTTGGTGATGTGGATCTCAGATTCAAAAGTATGCTTTAGGCTATTAATGTCCTGGTTTAACTGTGTTCTTACCTTTGAGGTCTCTAATTCTGCTGCATTGCGCCGGGAGGCCTCATCCTGCAGCTGTAATTGCAGCCGTTCAATCTCCCGCTCTTTTTCTTTGATGGCCCTTTCAAACTGACTTTTGGACAAACTGAGCTCCTCGAGTTCTTTCTGTCTCTTGCGGACAGCGAGCTCATACTCCTCCTGCTGGGTGGTGTATCGGTCCTCAGCCAGCCTGCGTTTGCGTTTCTCTTCCTCGATGAGAAAGGTGAGGCGGGACACCTCATCTTGCAAGTTCTTCAGCTGATTCTGGGTGCTGTCCAGGCTTTCCCGAGTAGTACTGCATTGTCTAGCCTGGGTTCTCTTGATCTCCTCCATAGAAATAAGCTCTTCTTTAGATTGAGTCAGCTCCAGCCGATAGCGAGCCAGACTATCCTCCATTGACTGGTTTTTATGAGTTTGATCTTTGAGGTTGTCCTTGAGACGTTTTAGTTCTTCCTCCAAAAGGTCAATTTTAGTGTTCCGCATCTAATAAAAAAAAAGCCATATTGAATAGTGTAAGTTAGTGGTAGTAACTTACAAGAATAACAAATCCTCACATTTAAGAAAGCATTTTGAACATTGTGCTTCCTTTTTGTTTCCTATATGTACTGTACTTGGTATCTATCAGCACTGCTAATAGTGCTAACACTTTATTTTGATGAGTTTTACCGTTTTACGCCATTTTCGGCGTAATAATCAAGGAACTTTGCTGCCGTACCATGGGTGCATTAAGAAAGCATTTTGAACATTGTGCTTCCTTTTTGTTTCCTATATGTACTGTACTTGGTATCTATCAGCACTGCTAATAGTGCTAACACTTTATTTTGATGAGTTTTACCGTTTTACGCCATTTTCGGCGTAATAATCAAGGAACTTTGCTGCCGTACCATGGGTGCAGCAGGCGCAATTATATTATGCAGCGCCTGATAATATACGCCTATAATATATGAAAATAGGCTAACTTCCGTCAACATAACCAACGTGACCACCTGCTTGCACAAGGAGCGTGCTGGGGACTATTTTCAGGC